TTCCAATGCCCATTGTCCTTCTGTAGCCAACCTATAACCAACCTTGAGTCTCCTTCAATAGCTAACTTCTGAATATTCGAGGCTCCTTTGTCTTCCTTTAACCATCCATCCATTCATGCCATAAAATCTTAGCTCTAAGAGAGTCAGTCACCTACCCCAATAGGACCAGAAAACATTGCAACCATTCTCCCCACCTCATCTCTGAAAACTCCTCCAGCTCCCGATGGCCCCGGATTACCATCAATGCTGCCATCGAAATTAAACTTAATAAATTCAGAAGCTGGTGTGGACCAAATAGGATTCGCAGCTGACTGGACAGGTGCTGAATTAACCACTTCCTTCCAATTGGTAAGTAGCATATCTGTAGAGACATCAACAAAATAACTCCAAAGATTTTACCCATTGCACCACTCTAAGTGTTACTGCTTCAATAGTGGCTTCTTTATTCCTTTCCTTTTAAGAAAATATCCTTGAATTCCTTTCTTCTCATATTGTCCAACGCATGGCAGCTCTAATACACCTACACATAACCTTACCCCTTTTCTTCGACCACCTAAAGAAAGAAGAGACAAACAAGCCTTGTATATTTGGTGGAGGGATCCAATTATAACCAAAGAAAGAAAGGAGCCAATCCCAGGTAATAGAAACAAAAGGGTAGGAAATTAACAAATGATAGCAGCTTTCTCCATTAGCCTTGCACAAGATGCACCAATTAGGGGATAAGCACCATCTAGGCCTTTTCCTTTAGAGTAAATCACAAGTGTTGCATCTCTCCCATAATGCTTCCCAACAAAAGCACTAATTACCTCTTATTTCCTCTCCTCAATACTGACAAACTGATGAATGTTCCAATCTTTAATCTTTGCTTTTAGCTCCTTCAACTTCCAATGAAATTCCATACGCTTCCTAGCCAAAACTTTCCCTATGATTTTGTAGATGCTTCCCACTAGGCTTTGGTCTAAAATCCTTTGAACTCTTGCCTCCTTTCTCTTGGGGATTAGGGCTATGAAAGTTGAAATTATTCCTCTGGAAACACCCCCCATCTTGATATAACTCGTTGAAGATTTCCAACAAATCTCCTTTGATAATGTCCCAGCACTCCTAAAAAAGCCATAAAGAAACCACCGGCCCTGGCATTCTCTAAGGATGCTGAAACAGCTTCCGGCACTCTATCTCAATCAAGATCTGGAAGAGTCACACTACTCTCCTAAGCTCAAAAAGATTCCTTTAAAATGGTCCACAAACACCTTATGATTTCCTCTTCCCTAGTTATCTCTTGACCATCCAAGCCTATTCCCATAATTAAATTCTTCCTTCTACCGTAATGAGTGAAAAAATTGTGTTTCCATCCCCCTCTAGAAGCCAAGTGCACCTAGATTTTTGTTTCCAAGAAATCTCCACCTTTCTTAGCACTTCTTCCAGCTCACACTTAGACTCCCCCTTTCCTCTCTTTCCTCCCCTCTAATTTCTCTAAGCTCTTATTTTATATCCAACTCTACAATTCTTCAAGAAATTCTTTCCTTTGACTCCACTTTTCCAAATCCCAATCAAAACCAGTAATAGAACTAGAAGAAACAAGAAAGGTGAAAACAGGTTCATCTTTGTTCCTTGAGAGGGCATACAGAGAAGGAAACTAATCTTTTAAAGCAACATCCCCCACCCACACATGTTTCCCAAGGACGGTAAAATAGTGTGAATGGCCCTCCAATGAGAAGCTCTTGCGGCCCTAGCCAATACTCCAACATCCCAGCCATCCGTTGCAAGCCCATGAATACTGACAAATACCTTTGCCCATTATTTGTCCCTGTCAACCGGTAACCTCCAAAGTCATTTTCCCAACAATGCCATGTTTCTCTTCTACAAATTTCTAAACCTAGGTCCCCATATTTCTTACTTCCACTTACTACTTCCCATTTAACTCTATGATCCCTCTTTTCCTCACTTGGCTCCCAAAGGAAATCTCTCATTAACTTTTCCAACTTCTTCCCTACTCTCTCTAGCATCTTAAAAACAAACATATAGTACACAGGTAGATTATCCAGGGTTGCTTTAATCAATGTAATCCTACCTCCCAAAGAAAGATAGTTTTTCTTCCAAGATGCAAGCCTTTTCTCAAACCTTTCTACCACTAGATCCCAGAAACTACTCTTCTATGGATTATCTCCCAAAGGTAAATCCAGATATTACAAAGGCCCTTGAGCCACCTCACATTCTAAAATATCTGCACTCTACCACTTCCCTTTCTTCCATGTTTATTCCCACTAAGCAACTCTTATCAAAATTCACCGTCAAATTTGACACCTTGCTCAAATAACTACATAGCTAATTTCAGGTTCCTAACCCATCTACTACTTCCTCCTTCACTAAACACTTGTTTGTTTAATCCCCAATGACAAAATTTTGGAAGTTATTTAATAGAAGCCTCCCACAAGACTAATTAGTCTAAACTCCTTTGGATGTGCAGCCTCCTTTGTCTTCAATATCAAAGCTACAAAAGTTGCATTGACTCCAACATCAACAATGCCCCTATCATAAAACTCCCTTAAAGCTTCAACCAAACAATCTCTTAAGATTTCCCAACAACCTTGGTAGAAAGCTATTATGAGTACATCTAGCCGTGAAGCTTTATCTCTTCCTATAGAGAATATGGTATTTTTTATTTCTTCAACCTCAAAAGGCTTTTTTAACCATTTTGCCTTTACTCTCAAGGTAGCCACTCTAGACCCTTGACCTCCATTTTAGGTGTTGCTGACTACCAAAATTATTTTTGAAATGATCCACAAAAATCTTTGTAATTTCATCTTGTTGGGTAATTTCCCTCATCTCTATCACCAATATTGTGACTAGATTTTTCTTCCTTCTTCCATTGACAATAGTGTGGAAAAATCTCAAGTTACCATCCCCTTCCTTGATCCATTTCGTTCTAGACCTTTGCCTCCAAAATACTTCCTCCCTCTTCAATATTTCTCCTAGCTCTTTCTTCAATCCCCATCTCTTCTACTTTTCATCTTCTTTCAGACCTCTAATTGCTTCAAGATCATCTAGTTCCACAATTTGAACCAATATTTCTTACTTCTTTTCCAACGCATTACCAATATTTACACTACATTGGGCACAAGTTTCCTGGTTGGGCCCATTCAAATTTTGATAAAATCCCAACTCGAGCCCACCCAAGTTGCATCCCTAATAAACAAAATGGAAGAAGCGCTCCTATTTCTTTTTTTTTATCAATAACAGAACATTTTATTAATAATATATTAACAAAGGTACAACAGAAAGCTATGGGGAGAGGTAAACTCTCTTAACCCTCCCCAACAAAATTAAAAAAAAAAAAACAGGTTACAACTAGACCTGTTCATGGGTCGGGCTCAGGCTTGGCTTCTGCCAAAATTTGAATGGGGCCCAGCCCGATGCCCGAGCTTGACACAGTGTAAGTGGGGCCCAAAGCCCGGCCCGTGAACAGGTCTAGTTACAACATTGCCCAGAACATTTGTTCCCTTCCCACTCCTTAGCAAGAGCATCCACAAATGAGTTGGCACTTCTCTTTACCCATTGAATCTGAATCTCTATTCCTTGAGTTAGCCATTTGAATTCTCTTTTTTCATTGGCATATGTCCATATTCTGCCATTTTCCTTCCGCAACCATTCTATAACCACCTTGGAAACTCTCTCAGCAATAATCTAATGTAGATTCAGTTCCTTAGCCTTTCTCAATCTTTCCAATACTGCCATGGTTTCATCTCTGAGAGAATCCCCTACTCCAATAGGTCCAGAATACAGCGCAATAAATTTCCCTCCCTCATCTCTGAATGGTCCTCCAATTCCTGAATGTCCTAGATTACCCTCACTGCTCCCATCAAAATTTAATTTAATAAATCCAGGAACTGGTGTAGACCAAATGGGGCTGGACTTCACTTGGACTAGAGCTGAATTAGCCACTTCTTTCTAGTTTCCCATCTTTAAACAGTTCTAATGATTTACCCACTACACCACTCTGATAGTTACAGACTTACAGCTTCAATAAATTATTGCCTCTTTACTTCTTTCCTTCTCAGTAAAGATCCATGAATTCATTTCTTCCTAGATCATCCAGCAGATGGCAGCCCATACACATCTCCATATTACTCTGCTCCTCTTCTTTGACCACTTGAAAAAGGAAGAAACAACCCTTGTATACTTAGCGGGGGAGTCCACCTGTAACCAAACATAGAAAAGAACCAATCCCAAATAGCAGAAGTAAAAGTGCAGGTGATTAAAAGGTGATAATAGCTCTCACCATTGGCCTTACAAAGGATACACCAACTAGGGGATAGGCACCAAGTAGGCCTTTTCCTTTAAAGCAAATCACCGATATTACACCTTTCCAAAAAGGCTTCCCGACAAAAAGCTCCAATCCTAGAAGGAATCGGTTTACCCCAAATCTCAAGAGAAGGAAAAGTTTGGCCATTACTAACAAAGGATTGGACTAAAACTTTGAAGGAGGCACAAGAGAATTCACTAGTCAAAGTCAAAGTCCAAATTCTACTATCTTCATTTGAAGAATCCAAAACCTCCCCTTTTCTAAGAACCAAGGTTCAAAATATTGACACACGCAACACCAAAAAATTGGGTATCATGTGTGTTGATTGCCCTATGCACATTTTTTTTAATTTTTTCAAACTGATACTTGAGAGATAGGTTGATGAGGATGATTTCTATCCTCTGAAACATTCAAAACCCCTAAACTCTCTTTATGTAGTGCACTGTTGGCCTTTGAAATCAATACGGTACACCCCGTATCGGGTATATCATATTGATACTTTAGTCCTTTCCAAGAACCCTTGAACTCCTAAAAAACACTTACACGAAGAACTATTAAGAAGGAATGTCAAGGAGAAAATCCATCTCCTTTCAAATTTAGTCAAATCAAGGCAGGAAGGAGAAATAAACTCAAACAATATTTTCTATCTATTATATGCAGAATTGATAGGTGACGAAATTGGGCCCACGCTATGTAGTACCTTTCCATTTGAGAACTGAACAATCCTGCGAGATGTTGGTAGAAAATGAGAAACCCGAGTTCCACTACCTGATCCACCATCTTCAAACTTTTGACCATGCCCATGACTGAATTGCCTCTGCAAAGAAGAACGATTATGGGTATCACCAATCGATCTTTCTCTCACACATAGAAGCATACGACCTGTAAAAGCCAGAAGTTACAGGTTGTCAGCAAAGAATTAATTCTCATGAGAAATTTCCATCCCTTAGATTAAAGAATCTGATGCATGCTATATAGTGTTGCATGGACACAGACACAGGAGTTGGAATCTGATGTGTGTTCAAGAGTCAGACTTGGCAAGATGAGAAAACATGGATTCAAGAAACATCTATGGAAAAGTATATACTATTGAAATAGTTCATTTGTTTTTTGAATTCTAATGTTATATACCTGCAAAAAATGCTGCCTTTGTTACCAAGTAATGTTTGATGTGAAAATTAGCATTCATCTTGTACATTAGTTGTTCATTAATGTCAAATAAGCTAGCAGACAAAAAGGAAATGTCACATAGAAGCATCCTCAAGAATCTGTGGTGTGTCAAACTCCAACACATATCTGACATAAGCATGCATCCTTTTAGAAGAGTTCATGCAACACTGATGGCACAGTGTATTTCAGAAATAATTGCTTCTAAGATTACAATCATGCTGAAGCCTTAATTAGCAGCATAATGAATACGCATACATAATCTAATGCTTTTTTACAATAATCATGAACTAATAGTAGATTTGTATAAGAGTTAAGATGAATTGATACCAACAATGTCGGTGCTTGACACTCCTTCAGTCCGCTTGATCTGCTTATAGCGACCTGCCTTCTTAGCGAGAGCATAAGCATCAGTTCCATCAGGTAGAATGCATGGATCATCACCATGAATGATATAATCTATGTTATACTCGTTGAATAGCTTGTTCATGAAGTCTTCAGTTATAGCATAAGGTGCATCTGGAATGATCTCATCCACCCATTTCACAGCACTGACCATAATCATCCTATATCAAAAGACAACTGAAAAATGAAAAATCTAATGCAATACTCATCTCTTTGAGGTAAATAGGGAATTCATACTAAAAAGAACATATAGAGAAGCTCATCCACAGAGAACAAAGTAAGATTCTTCTTATACATAAAGCTGCTCTTCTTGTCATTTAATGATTTTCACTACAAGTCAACGAGTCGAGTAGGAATCTGTAACTGATGAACTAGAATTTTCACAGAAAAATAAAAACTTTTAACTTTGGTAAATACATAAATTTGCAAAAAATGACTAACATCAATGAAATAGAATCCTGTTGGAAGATATTCATCTAAAACAATGATAAAACATTTGAAACCTAACCCCACAAAACCGATTAGAAAAACTATTATCTCCCAAAAGCGTTACAAAATAATAGCATATGAATGTCTTAATATAAAGTTTAATAACAAGGTTCACACGATTCCAGGGAAACACATATAATGGGAACAGAAATGAAAACATTTTCAGAAATTCAAAGAATAATTCATTTCCTTTTTTTTCTCGGTAACAAGAAATGACTCCATTTCAGATGACATGGTAGCTTCAAACTCCATCGAAGATCAAAATGAAGCAGCTGCATTTCTAGTCGCATTCAAACATCTTACAATTGAAGTATAAGAATGCAATAACAAAGACCGAGACCTCTCGTTAAGGGGAGTGACAGGAGGTCCTTTGTTGGCAATAATCTCGGCATCGCTAACAACACCGACAACCAATTGATCACCGAGTGCACGCGCCTGACGCAAAGCGTTGCAGTGGCCATAATGCATCATATCGAAGCAGCCATCCATGTAAACGCGGATGGGCTTTTTCTTCTTTCTCTTGATTCCAATCGGAGGCAACGGGAGACCCAGGTAGAAGCCCAACATCGATGCCCCGAGAACAAGCCCCCCTATCAAGCAGGTTCCCAGAAACCTGGCGCTATACGGATTTTCCGGTTGCCCCACATCGAACCCCATCGCACTAGCCTAAAAGGAATGGATGTTCGAAGAACAAACGCAGACCCTTCTCTGTCTTCAAAAAGGATTTGATTTGATGATATAAAGCAGAAACGAGAATGCTAGAGAGGTGGAAAGGAGGAACAGAGGAACAGAGTAGAGAGGTTCCTCTCTTATTTTGGGCTTGCGACAGGGAAGCAGCAGCGACTGTGATTACATATCAAACATGCAGAGTAAAGGTAGATGTAACGAACGGTCCGGGTTGAGGGTCGTATAGGTAAATTTTCTCTTGAATTTTTGTGCGTGTGATGACTGAATTCAATCCGTCTCGAATTTGCAAGTTGCAACGGCTCCAGTAAATGGTTCGATGGAGTCGGAAGATCCAGACATCTAGTGAGCCCTAGTGATCATAACGTTGTGCAGCGTTGTCGCATCGTCATCGAGATCGAGTAGCCATTATTGAGATGGCCATCATCATCAGGTGAGTTCCGTGCGCAATTGTATCGAGCCAATTCTCAGGCTTTGCCTACTGAGCCCATCAGCCCATGCCCAGCCCACTAAAACCCTACTTTTGGCCTAGTGAAACCTCATGCTAGCGTAAAACGTACGGTGTTTCTAATTTCTCACAAGGAGGGGTGGATTCGAGTTGCGAGCTGAATACTTTGGTTATTCGAGCTTGGTTTGCTGAAATTACGTATGAGCTCGATTCGAGTTAAAAACTTGAGTTTGAACTCGATTCAATTCAAACTTCATAAGTTCGAGTTCGAGTTCGAGTTTGGCTAAAGCTTGATTGTATGCTAAGTTTAAAAAATATATGTTATATATATAAAAATATTTTTTATTTTATATACAAAAATTTAAGAATTATAAAAAATAGTTATTATTATACATATAAAAATATTTTTATTTTATACAATTAAAAAAAATTATTTACTATTGTATATAAAAAATATTATATATAAAATATTATTGTATATAATAAAAAATATTTATTATATATAAATATTTATATATATAATAAAAAATTATTTATTTATTATACTAGGCTCACGAGCCTCATGAACCGAGCTTCACTGGGCTCGAGCTTGGCTCGATTAGCAAACGAGCCTATATATCAGGCTCGAGCCGAGCTCAAATAGCTTGTGAGAAGCTTGGCTCATGACCACCCCTACTCACAGCCAAGCAATCAGTAGACCCCGAAACCAAATAGTAATTTTCAAGGAAAAACCGCTGTGGAAGTGAGTTCATATTTGCTATAAATAAGTAGTATTTCATCAAATTAGATGGAACATCCTAGGAAGACTCCAGAGTCGTCCATCGCATGGGAATTCAACTTTAGTCAATGCAACCCAATGCTCACACCGTTCGAACAGCCTCTTGCAACCTTGCATTGGGAATATCTCCCCATAAAATAAATCAAATAAGTATGGAGATATTCTCAATGCAAGGCTATAAAAATTGTTCGAACGGGCTTTGCACTAACTAAAGCCCAATTCATCATACAGGAACATCTCCACATGCATGATAACATACATGTCAAATAAGAAGTCTTTCATCAAGTTGAATGGAATACCCACATGACATTACAGCTGAGAACATCTCATGATAGCATACAAATACAAGAAATGTTCCTAATGTGTGGTTACGATGTCATGTGGGTAGGAGATCAAAGCACATGTGAATAAAGTGATCAGCAGGCTCCATGTTTATTCATGGTGGTATTCTTCATTGTTTAGGAAAAGATTAAATGAAAGGCAAGATTAATTGAGGGATTTAAGTTGAGTAAGGCAGGGACCTGTAACTCATCTTTTAGTTGTTGATGACTGCCTACTGTTTTGTAAAGCGGTGCCAACAAGTAAGAGAGATGAGGGAGCTTCTATGTATGTTTGAGCCTTGAGGAAGTATCAAATAAAAAAAAGTTGGAATACTATTTATCAAGAACACTCATAGGTAGCAGAAGAAATTTTTTAGCAATATTGGAATGACAAACCTAATAAGCATGTAGCATAGCAAGAATTGATTGAAACCTAGGAAAAAAATGGCAATTTGGTTGTTCTCTCGAATTGGAAAGACAACCATGATTAAGGCATTAATCTAATCAATTCCTCTTTATATTATGGAAGTAGCTTTATGCCAAGAAAAAACACAAGTGAGCTGGAAAGAATACAGAGGGACCTTTGGTGGGTAGGAAGCAAAGGTGAACAAACTAAGCATTATTAGACAATATATGTCATTAGCTCCAATTAGATTCATGTACATAAACAATTAGAGGAAAGTGAATAGAGTATGTTATTGTTTCATATTCTTATTAGTATGTTTTCTGTAAATTACTCCTTAAACTGGACACTTATGAGATTCGTGTTAGTTTAGAATGTTCTCAACCATTGGATAGACTTGAGGAGTTTATCCTGACAAGGCTAACACTAGTATGCTATCGAATTGGTGGAGCAGCTTGTCTCAGCTGCTAGGGTTAGACCCCAAGTACAGCCAATAGGTATTTAGAAGAAACACTGAACTTAGACCAATTTCCAGGTATGCCCTAGACCTTGGAGATTATATGGGTAGAACTGGAAAGTTGCACTTAACCCCAGACTTTATTATGATATTGCACTGGGTATTAGACTGAGTTGTCTTTGATGTGCCAACTAGTGAGATTCATCAATGGTCAAGTACATGGGCATGTTGGGGTAGTTTGGGAAATTACCTAAGTAGGTGATCATAGTGATATGATCAACCCCTTTGTAAAACAAAGTGAGTATCAGGCTTTACACTCTCTATGATGGAAACCTAAGTTGCTGACAATGGATTTCAACTATATTTAAAATTTGATTGCAAAATGTATTTATATGTTATATTGCTATCTTTATAAAAAAAAAATGTTTGCAAAAGGTTTTAATCTCGAGATCCATCCGAACAGATAGTAACATTGAATTTTGTAGTCAGGGAAGAGGCCCTTCCATGTAGGTAGTGTTCTAATGATTATGGGTGAGAGGTTAGGTGTAAAAGACCATTAAAGGGTTGATTACCTGATGGACTCTATCTTACATAAATCCATTATCTTTGGGTCTTCATAAAGTGGTTAAATCCAATGGTTATTTAGATGTAAATGTTGGGCCTAAACTAAGCCCAAGATGATTGGTTCAGGGGTTCACTGCCCCAAGCAATGAATTTGACCTAACCTCTTCCAAATGTATGGTTGAACCCTTGTGGATTTGTGTGAGACCTTTGTAACCCCCATGCTATACAATATTCAAACCCAAAGTGGATTTCGAATCTCTTGCCCACGTCTACCCACAACACATTACTCCCATGCATTGGGAACATCTCCTCATGCATAATACTATGTAGGAGGATGATATGTTCTCCATGTGTGGCTATGATGATATATGGGTAGAGTTATCATGGGTAGAAGATCTGGACTCTCCAAAGTGGCCATGCAACAATACCTTGGGATGTGAATCATTCGATAAAATGGACCTAAGGCCCATTACTAATATCATTAGTTAAGTGGTCACATGACAAAGTTGTCATGTGACTTGGGTTGAAAATGGGCATGGATCTGTGTATGGAGCACTTATCTTCTTAAGGAGTCTCTTAACTAAGCTGAAATGAGTAGAATAGCTTTGGGGAGGCAGGTAAGGAGTCTCTTAACTAAGCTAAATCCCTTATGGTCTTGGGTAAAAAAAAAATCATCACTATAAAATATTTGGGTCATAAATCAAATGCTTAATGCAAAAATTAAAACCCACCACTCAATATGATGGAGGCAGATTAATCCATCCATTGACAATGACAAATTGCTATTGGAAACCCACAATGAATTGCAATCATACAGTGAAAATAAGCATATAGAACTTTTGTATGCAAACAATCATACTTGTCATCAGAACTGGTGAACTGGAACCTAATCCTAGAAACAAAATGTTCCTTATAGGTTTCAATTGTTCTTTTGGAAAACACAAGAGACAAAATGTCATTATTCCTAAAGGGAGATGATGTTTTGTGTGTGCTCTACAAGAAATTTTTAACCATCTATTTTTACTTGTTCATCATTACAAATGAGAATAAATTTTGATGACATGGAGAATTAAGTGATATAATCCTCTACTAGAAGCAAGTAAAGCTCATATAGTTGGATAGAAAGTATAAAAAATAAAAAATAAAAAATAAAAAATAAAAAAAAAACTACTTCATACATTCATCATAGCCTTCAAGATTATTTGGGATCAAAGAAATAGTAGCATTTACAACAAGCACATGCCTATACCCATGGCAGGTGTTGGAACAAATTAACTTGTAAATTATTAATGACCTAAGATTGATCCCTTCAGGATTATTTAGGATCAAAGAAATAGTAGCATTTACAACAAGCACATGCCTATACCCATGGCAGGCGCTGGAACAAATTAACTTGTAAATTATTAATGACCTAAGATTGATCAACATGTTATTACAACTGGCTTTGATATGTCACAAAACATGAGAGCACACACTAAGGCTATGTTTGGATTGAAGGAAAAAGGTTGGGAAAGGAAGGTAAACTTATACAGGGCCTTTTCGAACAAACACAACCTAACAATATTGTAACTTATCCTTTCTTTGATCCTAAGTTAGGAGTGGCAATGGCAGCTATGTTGAGATAGGATTAGCCGAACTCAATAGCTGTTCGACAGGTTGTAGAACCAATAATAACTCTCCACACCAATCATGAAGTACATGGGACCCACAACCATTCAATTTCTCACTATATGCCCCACCTATTTTATCATTGGTGTGGGGCATTATCATTGGTTCCACAACCAACTACACAGTCAAAGTAAAAGATAATTCGGATTTACTAATGTTATTATCAAAACTTTCATAATATGATAGTTTGTGTTGTTGCAAAAGTTTTGGTGTTGTACAAACTATGGTGGATGAGTAGAAAATAAGGTCCTGCAAACTTAGATGAGCCGAGGTAAAAGGATAAGGTGGTGTGTTGAGCAAAACCTGAAACCAAACACTATCAAAGGCCTTAATGAGGAGGTTCCCGAGGAAGGCACTTCGATGCTCAAATCAATAAGAGGAGAAGAGGATGGCCAAGCTGAGCTATTGAGGGCAAATTGGTTTGGGCCGAACAAGGTTAAGTAGAGCGGGAGAGCAAAACGGAGGATAAAGTGTCGGAGGGTTCAAGAGAGAGCATGATACCTCGACGGGAGTGCCTTTGGATAGCCGAGTGTCATTGTGCACTCGGTCACGTTCCTTGCTGAGATGCTCGGCACTCAAAAGGAGATCGACCACTAAGGTCTTTAAATGATCCCCATGTTCTTAGTTGTAGATTCTTATCAGCAGCGTAGAGTTGTTGTGATGCATGATAGGCTGTGCCATTAACGTGGCTAAAGACATTGAACAACCCCAAGACACAACAACAACCGTGTGCAACTAACCAATTAGGGTACAACCCTAACAAGTTTATAGGAACTCAAGAGCTTTAGAGGTTGAATGGAGGCATAAAGTAGAGCAGTAGCCAAAAGAATTGTTCAAAGCAAAAAGAAGTTCCAACATCTTATGTTGTTTTCTAATGCTTTGTTAATTCTGAAAATGATAGTTCAAACTACTGCGGTTTGCAACTGGTTGCACAAGTCTCTTTTGCATTTTCTAATAGGTATATTAATTTAGTGATGTAAACTGCCTAATCACTCAAGATGGAAGAATGGTTCCATTTTTGAGACAAATTTTATAACATTGGTTAAAATGCCCCATATTTGGTAATTAATGGAGCAGTTCATTAAGATAAATAATTTTTTTTTATAGTAACTAAAACATCTATTTAGATAAAACTGAGTAGATATTCAATGAGTTAATGTGACGAGTTCAAAAGTAAACAAAAATGTTAATTAGCATTAAGCATCTCGTGTTGCAAGATGATTTAGGACAATAAATCTTCTCATGGATTATCTATCTACACTATATATAAAATTGTGAATGCAATGTGAAACTTTTTTTTGACTAAAATTACCCCTATACTTCTTTGTAGAAAAAGGGTATAAAAGCCATTTTATTACAACTTGAATGTTAGATTTTATAACTATTAAAATGCCCATAATTGTGTATTTAGTTCATCTCTAATAGTAAGGTTGAAAATATAATTTTAATTATTACTTTCCACCTCATTTAATCCCCTCTCATTAATTCTTATATTTAAATTATTAACTCCCATTTCCCCTATTAAATTAACAATATAAATCTATATATTTTAAAACCGACTCAAAAATAAAACCATTTTTAATTAAAGTGGTGGCAAAGAAACTCAATCATCCAAATCAAATTTATCAATATATGAACTTATAGTTAGGTAATAAAATTTTTAGAATAGAAATAAATATAAAAATTACAAAAAATATAAAAAATTACACATTTATAATATTTTTATTAATCAAATTAAAAAAATAAGTGCAATAAACAAGAATTGTTTTTATTGGTGATAATAATGAAATACATAATTTAGAATTGGTAAAAAAAATATTTTACTATTTGGCAAAGATCAATAATTCAATTTGTGGGTCAAACATGTTAATCTTTAATGTCATAAATATAATAAAATATAAAAATACAAGTATAAAAACAAATACATAAGTTTTGCAAAAAAAAAAATTTAGCCACATATATAATATCATATATTTATCATATTAAATAAAAAGTAAATGTGACATATTAGATTTTTTTACACACAAAAATACAAAAAAGTTATAGAAAAAATTGAGCACATCTATAATTCTATATTTATACTACTATTAAAAATATGAATAAGATGGTGGAACATTATTTTAACTAAAATACTCATTTTTGAATTTAGTCTCTATTTAATTATGAGGTTTAAATTGTAAATTAAACTACTACTTTTTCACCCAATTCAATTCTCTCTATTTAAATCTTACATTTTTTTGATAAATAAACAAATTCATATACTTAAAGTATTAAATCCAGTTTTCTCATATTAAATCCTATAATTTAAGTTATTTTTTATTAATAAATGCTAGTATTTTTAACAGTTTAAATACATATATTTTAAAATTGACTGAAAAAAAAACCATTCTTTATCCACGTGGTGGTTAAGCAATTCAACCATCCAAATCAAATTGATCAATCTAGGAAGTCATAGTTAGGTAATAAAATTTTTAAAATAAAAACAAATATAGAAAAATAACAAAATGTAGAAAAATTAGACACATTTATGTAATAAAATTAAAAAATAAGTATAGTAAACAACAATTATTTTTATTGATAATGAAAATGAAATACATAATTTAGAATTGGCCAAAAATGAAATAAAAAATTAATAATATATAATTCAACTTTTGGGTTAAATGTATTAAATTTTAACGTCATAAAAAATTCAGAATACAAAAAAATAAATACATTTTGAAAAAAAAGCATTCAAATACATGTATAATATCATATATTTATCATATTAAACAAAAAGTAAGTGTAAAATAACAGAATTAGTTTTATACACAATAATACAAAAAAAAAATAATAATAATTGAGCATATCTATAATTCTATATTTACATTACTATTAAAAATATGAATAAGATTGTATAATTTTCTTTTAACTAAAATACTCATTTTTGAATTTAGTCCCTATTTAATTGTGAGGTTTAAATTGTAAATTGAACTACTACTTTTCACGACATTTAATTCACTCTATTTAAATCCTACATTTTTTGATAAATGAAAAAAAAGATACACTAAAAAAATAAAACATTACAAAATGAAGAATCTAGCCAAGCAGTAGGGGTGCAATATATATATATATATATGTGTGCGTGTGTGTTATTTATTTACTTATAAATATATTATTTATATTGTGTTTTTTGTAAATTTGTTATTTTATTTATTTTTTATAAAAATGTGTGTATATGATGAAAATAGTTAAAAAGATACTTGTATTTTTTGTTTTTCTTTATTTAAATTATTATATTTTAATTTTCTTTTTTAAATTTATTTGGAATGGATCATATCCAAATATCTAACTTCTTCATTGGATTTGTATTCAAATCCATGTTTATGAAATGCAAGATGCAATCAGTTCTGCTGTTAATAATATTGGATCAGATTCGAATAAAACCTAATTCAAATTCGATCCAATCCGTTTGTATCCCTACCAAGCAAGTAGGCTTGTCAATGATATTTGAAATTTCAAAACTCAATCCGATTATCTCATATTTGGATGAGATATTTACATAATCGGATTTAGATTTTGTAGTCTACATCTGACTAATAATAAAAAGTATAAAATATAAAAATGAAAAAAATATAAAAGTTTATAGAAAATCGTGGATATATTATTCCTATCATTATCATCTTCTAGAATTGCCACATGCAAAGCACGTGCATGCTTACTAGTTTTTTCAAAAAACACCAAAAGCCTAATAAAATTTGGAAGGGGCATTCAAGCACAACAATTAGGAGAGAAAAATTGTTGACATGGACCCCATCCTTTTATAAATTGTAAGCATATTTTAGGTTTATCAACAAATGTGTATGTTATATTACAAAAAATGCAAATGTGTATGTTTTTTGAATGTGATGATGATTATGATGCTAATAATATGTCTCTAATTTTTTCTAAAATCGTTTATATTTTTACATGTATAAAAATAATTATTATTTATCATATTTGTGTTTGTTTAATTTGATAAATCACCATAACTTTGTTCCCATATATGTGTTAATGCTAAAGCTAATCAACCTTAATTAATTTGCTAATCCTAATTGTCTTTTTTTCCTCTTAAAATAAAAAAGAAATGAAGAAATTGGACTACTTCAGACCCAATCCAACACGGACCTAATAGGATTTAGTTTGGGGTATAACAACTTAGGTTGGGTTAGGGTTGATCTCAACTAGGGCTGCAAATGGATTGGATCGGATTTGAATCAAGGTATATCTGAATCTGATCTGACACTGTTCATGTCGGATCCGATCTGATAGGCCTTGATTTGAATTCAAATCCTATCGATAAGTTGGACCTTCGGATCTGATCCAATTTAACTTGTTTTCTTTAAAAAATAATAAATTATTAAAAGAAAATAAAATATGCCAAATTAAATAAATAAAAAAACAAATATTTTTTAAATTATTTTTGTCATATATATACACATGTTCTTTATAAATTTATAAAAATACTATAAATAATATATTTATAAATATATAAATAACATATATATATATATTATATTTATATTTATAAATATATAACATATATCATATCATATTTTCTCTGATCAAATAGGGGGGATGATCCAAATCCGATCCGATTTTCCGATCCGATATAAAGATCCAAACAGGAGTGATCTGAATTCGATTGAATAGGTTCAGATCTCGAATAAGATCAAATCATGTCCGATCCATTTGCACCCTAATCTCAACTTGACCCAAGTTAAAGTTTGGAGATATTGGAGTTATTAGGGAACTGAATCTCTAGCCCAATTGATATGCAAAACTCGTTAGTAATATATACATCATCCATACAAAAATATTTTCAATAGCATGTAAGCATAAGCACCGTATAACAAAGAGGGCCAAGAGGCCAATCATGGACAATAATCCTATTCAAATTCTTTTTAATGCACTAATAAACGTGCATGTGCATTTCATAATAATAATAATAATATGAAGAGAGATTTTTATGATTATCAAAAACATCAGGGGAGAGGTATTTTACCCTTAAACTTAGGATGATTTGAGGGATTTTGTAAACATTATGGGTAGAGTTGGTCCAAAATAGATCTGTTCATGGGCCAGGTAGCCCGACGGCCCGGCCCGGCTCGGCCCGTACCCCGGCCGGGCTTGGTCATATAATTAGGCTCGCGGGCCTGACCTCGGGCTTAACACAGTAAGCCCGACTGTGTTTCGGGCCGGGCTCGGGATTTGTCAAAAAAGNAAAAAGCCCGGCCCGACCCGACTCAGTATTATATATTTTATAAAATATATAATATATATTTTATAAAATATATAATATATATTTTATATATTATATAAAATATATAAATAATATAATATTTATTAAAATATATATTTATAATTTAATATATATATATATATATTTTATTCTTTTCTTTATAATTTCAATCTATCTCTCTCTTTTTATTCAGCTGCTTCAACATTAATAATAATAATAATAATATAGGCTAAATTTCGGGCCCGGGCCCAGGCTAGGGCTTCGGGCTTTTTATGAGGGCCGGGCTCGGGCTCAAGCCTTAAAAAAATTTGTTAATACACAGTAAAAGCCCGGCCCGAGCCCGGCCCGGCTCGGTACATGAACAGGTCTAGTCCAAAAGGATACATTAGTCTTTTCAGGTTTCTCTGTGATAACCGTGCATGGATCGATGGGGAAGGTCTTAAAAAGAGAAGTTCAAATATTAAGGAGAAATTGCAAGGGAAATCGGTGGAGTAGAGTGGTTCGAACTTCGATGGATTGACCGTTTCGGTTTGAGAAAACATTGTCCTTGATCTTGCCAAATAGACAACAAGTGACGTTGGCAGTGGTGCTTTTGCTCGTTATCGTTGGAGGAGAACAGGAGGGTGGAACAAAGGAAAGATGCAAGGCGTGATGGCATGGAGGTTGATGCGAAGGAAAGCCTTCTCCACAATATCCAAGGCATTCAAATCCTTCAGCGGCTACCCAACCACCAGGTCTCCTTCCCTTCTCGAGCTCGACCTCCCCGACAATTGGACTCCCAACCCAACGACAGCAACAACGACGGCGATCCCACATTTTCAAAACCACGGTGCGTATATTGCAGCAGCAAATTCCGACGAATTTCATGCAAGAAAGGATTTTTGTTTTCGTTGGTTCCTTTCAACTTGACGCATTAGGGCTTCTTTATAGTAGTACCAAGTAAGCAATGATCAGTTGCTTTCTGAGTAATAAATCCAAAGCCCAAATGCGTGGTGGATTCTATACGAGGGCCTCGTCCCTTCTTATGTATGCTTTAGAGTTTAGACTTATTTCGAAAACAACGTATTCACATTATCAGTTCCCGTTTCAATCGTGATAGCTCTTTTTGCCGAAATTCAACTATCTCAACTCAGCAACTCCTTTTCCCAACTATTTGGGCTTGGCTTCTAGAATCCTGCCTCCATTTTTCGCGCTAAGCATCGGCCGTTTTTTCATCAAAACCTACGTTTAAAACCTCAGGATTATTTTCCGTGCGTATCAGCCTTCGGGTTGCTTCTCCTCCATTTTAAACTGAAAACACTACTTCTAGAAAGGGATATCTATTATCAACGTAGCAATTTGGTTGTCAATTGGAACTAGATGAGCTTTCAATCATAAATATCAGCTTCTTGAGAAAATCCTGAATTCTAGAACAATGTCTGAAAAGCTAATCTCCACAGAGGCCATCGTCTGAGTCTGGCCAAACCAGAGTTTGGTTTTTATTCAAAACCTGTTAAATTAAAAGGAGCATTTTTTTTACCATTCCAGCCATCAAGTATCTATTGAACTTTGGAAATGTTTGTCTAGCCCCCCTTCCCGTAAAAGGGCCATAACCCAATGCTGTTCCAGCCATCCGTTGTCTTTAGCGGTGGACTGGATATCGACCTAATCTCCTGCACTTTTTAGCACAAAGTGGTAGGTCTCGGGCTCAAACCCGTTTTCTCATGCTCGTGGCTTGTCAGCCTATTTGCAATTGCACCAAGCAGTGGCCCCTATTCAATTAAATATCTGGATTAATGCTGGTTCAAATTGAGTGTGGAATTGGGGCTTTTCTGGATATCCACAGAAGTGCTAAATGCTAATGGTTGAATGGATTCCATTTGCAAAGTCCAGTGCTGCTGGCTGCCCACTCGTATATAGAGAACTTCTGCTCTCTGTTTTTTCCTTTTATTCCTTAATGGAATCTTTATCATTCATTTGATCATGTGGTTGGCTAGTGCTGGATGGTGAGAGAGCTACCTCTTCTACTTGGTTCAAACCTAGTTAAATTAGGGCAGTTGTGACAGTTGTTTTTTGTTTTGAAAAACAAAATCACACCTATTTGGTGAACACCCCCTTGGTGATTTTAGTTTCATTTCTTGACTTGTTTTTTTCGATGACCTTGATGCCTTGGAATGTCTTGGTTAATAGATTTAGAATGTAGTGTGACTCTTTGGTTAGAGAAAGGTTCTTCCAACTACAAGATATCTTTGCATTGTTGAATTCAATATTTGCTCAAATTGTTGAAGATGTTAATATTTAACTTTCTATTTGTTCTCAAGGCATTGTCTTTTCCTCTAAATTTATGTGACAGCAGCCAGTAGGCAGACAGCTGCATTGATTGATGGGAGATTGATGGCAGAAGAAATAAGATCAGGAATAGCCAGTGAAATAAAAAGAATGAGAGATGCCACTGGAAAGGTTCCTGGGTTGGCTGTAATTTTGGTTGGTAATAGGAAGGACTCTCAAACATATGTTCGTAATAAAATAAAGGCTTGTGAAGAGGTCGGAATCACATCTCTTATGGCAGAGCTTCCTGACAAATGTGGGGAAGATGAAGTTCTTGATGCAGTATTGAGTTTTAATGAGAATCCATCAGTTCATGGTATTCTTGTGCAACTCCCTCTACCTCAAGTAATTTCTGGAACTGTGCAATACTTAATGGTGTTCCATTTAAATTCTTGGGTATTGGTTTGTTGGACATTCCTCACCCCCTCAGGATTTGTTCAATCAAGAAATGAAACTAAAACAATTTGAATTGCTTCTTGGCGCATCAGGCATATCTATCAGACTAAACTACATATTTTCTATAATGATGATAAACCTATTGATATATGATGGATGGACATGAGTTCTGATGTCAAATTGATGTAAGACAGGCACAATCTTGAGATTAGGGGAAGTAAAAGATTTAAGAATTTCACCTGTTTGTTATTTTTTTTCCTTTTGCGGAAATATACAGAGAACCCTATCAAACTTGGTTGTGTACTACAACTCTCCATGCTAAATCTTCATACAAAAATTCATTAAAAATTTCACTCCTAGACTGAATTCTTGAAATTTCTTTATTTTCATAGATCCAGGAAGAATATGTTGTTTTCTGGTTTCCAACCTAGGTTACCCCTCTATAGCAATTCCAACAATAGTATGCTTGTAACTAGAGAAAAAATAAAAAACAATCCAATTTGTGTGTTTGTGTGTGGGGAGGGGGTGACTTTCTAGGTGTAAGAGAAGAAGACCTCTGAAATGCTGTGAATGTCGAACTGAATAGCTCAGTCGACAGTACTGTTATTTATATTAGAATGTAGTACAATGATACAAGGAATTACTGGAATGTCCCTGATTAGTGATGGGACACCCAAACAACTTAAAAACATTAAGCAGGCTTAGGCCCATTAACACAGGCCCAGTACAGGATAACTTAAACTTAAGTATAGGCTAATAAGAACTCTTATTAGCTGAACACTCATACATAAAGAGACTTCAATCCAACACTCCCCCTCAAGCTAAGCATGGATATCAATCATGTTTAGCTTGCCAAGTATGTTCCTAAACTTTGCTGCTGCCTGCCTTTTAGTCAATACATCTGCAATTTGCATCTTAGATGGAGTATAAGGCATATAGAGTTCACCCGAGACAATTCTCTCTCTAATAAAGTGTTGATCAATCTCAATATGTTTTGTCCTGTCATGCTGCACGGGATTGTTGGCAATGTTGATGGCAGCTTTATTGTCACAATACAGCCTGAGAGGACCTTCAGCCTTAATGCCAAGCTCACTAAGAAGAGTTATGAGCCATGAGAGTTCAGCAACCCCGTGGGCCATAG